TAGAAACGACTCAGACTCGCACCCCAGAACCTCAACTCGAACCTCTAATCAATAAACCCGACATCAGCCTGAATGATGATTTGTCTCTCGTTGAGTATATTTGGATGAGAGGTCATTATCCTCCCCTAGGGCACAACACTAACCCAACTTAATATGACGCCATCTTATTTCAACCCAACCAGATCTACTTGATAAAAGACATTGCAGTGCTAATATGGCCATAAACCAGCGATAGATAAGGTTGGTGTTTTATTGGGCTGGTGTTTTATTAAGTTGGTATTCTATTAAATTTGTCCATTCACGGCAATACTAACTCTGAGTCAGTCTAACTCATCAATAGACGCATTGGGGCAGTGTTCTGTTTAAGTCCTCAATTGTCGTGTTCTAAGAAGGAATTAGTATTGGGTTAGTATTGGGTTAGTAGTACTGAGTCAAAGACATAGTCGAACACGTGCTTAGGAAAGCTATGACTGTCTCGATGTATATCCAAAGTTGGGTTCTTCATCTTCATCTTCTTGTCCTTCTCCCATCTTAACCCATCTTCTCCCATCCTAACTCAGTACTTAACCCAATAGTTCGTCGCTCTTGGAACTGCAGATGAAGAATAAAGATGCGCTAACTTGTGCTTATCTCCTCTGAAACATACTGCAACGCAAATAACTCAGTACCAACACCAATATCAATACTAATACCAATACTAATGCCAACCCAATACCTACTCGATCTTTGCACCTTAAATCACTATTGGGTTAGTATGATATTATATTAGTATGATGATCGTAGATCAGGTTTGAAGAAAGTATAAATGTAAGCTTTGAGGAGAGATGGACAGGATGAAGTTCTCTTTTGGAATGTTAGGAGTTGGTCTGGCTTGGTTGCTGGGTTGGAGTAGTGATATAACTAGTGGTCAAATGACTGGTGCTGATGATGATAATAAGAATAAGATAAACTGGGAAGACCATTGTCTTAAATATGAGAATGGTGAGCAGATAGCCGATAAGGCAATTAAATATGATGCTAATCCAAAGTGTTCAGAGATGAAATTTAAGGAGGGGGATGTATTTGATGGTCATAAACCATCAAGTTATTATGTAGATATGTGGTTGCGGTTGTTAAAACTTGGGTTGTTAAGTGATTATGATACAAAGCGTATTGCTACAATGATGAACAAGTGCCGCCGAATCCATAGTCTGGATGCTAAGACTTGTCCTAATGATCTTGAGAAAGGTTCTCTTTTGCTTGCAATAGAGAGTGCCATAAATGGCTTTGAAAAGGGATATGCTATAAGTCAGCGCTATATTGTTGAGCTTGAAAAGCTAACAAAGAGTACTGCAGGAAAGGACGCTCTCTCTTCACGTGGATCATTGGATTTGAGTCAGTATAAAGACCTTCACAATGATGTTAGATATCTTATACAGACTTATAGTATTTTCTATGTTTTCTACTTTCCCGTCCTGTCATTTGATTGGGCTAAATATAGTAACAAAAAAGCGTTTGAAACTTGGAAGCCGCTTATCAAAAACTCAACTGTATCTAACATAGACCTTTGTGCTCAGAAACAGCTCAGACACTTCTTGTACGAGATACTACGTCTGCAGCTGATGCTCTCTAGCCTTTCAAACTTTTCTAATACACCTCTAAGTGCTTATCCTAATATCACAATCAGCAATGACGAACAGAAGTACATAGACGACATTTTGAAACTAAACATTGCTGCTATGATAAAGAGCATGCCAGCAGATGAAGCTGCCGAGAAGGTGCGAGAAAAACTATCGCATAGTATTGGGTTAGAAGATAAGTATAAATCGGCTTTTGAGCAACCTGGTTATATAAATCGATTGGATCGTGAATTTGATGAGGCATACAACAATAGTATGGACCAAGTTACAGCTAAAACTATCAAGCAGCTAATCGATGATTTGAAGGAAGTTTCAAAATGGTTTAAGCCTCTACTAGATAAGATCAAAAAACTACAAGCTCAGTTTAAATCTCAATTAACAAATACCACAACTGCCTCTACTATTCATGAGTGTGTAGAATATCTAACCACTAATGCTACTACTGATACACCGCATAATACCATGTCATCGTCTGCATCCTCTCTCAAGTCCAGTTGGATGCCCAATTCTCCTATTCTTCACATACTCATAAGCAGTCTGTTCTGGGCCCGTCTCGCCCATTTACTCGAACTGTCTCACTGATAGCTTGTTTACTCTACTCACCTCAATTCTACCTCAACTTAAGTAATAAAGCTTATTGTCATTGCACAACTCTTATTGGCTTAGTATAGCACTGTATGTTTTATGCCAGACAACACGTAGAGTTCTGATAAGTAAAACAACTCAATAAGAATCTAAACCATTACTAAACCATTACCAACCCAACTCAACTCAACCCAACCCAACTCAATCTAATCTAAAACTTAACTTAATCAATGAATTAGAAGCAAAATAAAATACAATACTATGTCTGTTCTTTTTTGATTTGGCACACTTTGACTTTG